TAAATATATTATTTTCAAATATATAAAAAAATATTTGATTTTTTAATATTGAATAATTATAATATTATTCTTATTTATTAAAATTGAAGAAAATATTAAAACTAAAGAAGATCAAAGTTGCCAAAAATATATCTATCTATTTTACAAACATACTCTACATAATTAATGAAATAATTCTATTAGATCAATATTTGATAATATTATAAATTTTATTGATATGAATTATAATAACTTTCATACAGTATTTTTTTCGATTTTCATTCGAGTAGTAATTTTAAATTTCTAAATTATAGCTTTTGTCTGAAATTAAATTTACAAATGTTGATTTATTTTTAATTTATGTTTATTGTTAAATACAAATTTTATTTATTTTCTTATGAATGTAATAACTTCTTATAAACCTCTTTCTTGTAATATTGAAATTCCAAACTTGCAAAAAAATAGGAAGATTTTCGCATTTAGATTTTAAGGATATTATTACTTTCTATTCTACATATTTGAATTAAGTCCCGCACTATAATAAGTTTTTCTTAATAAAAAATAACCTATAGACTATGTATTTTCTTCATTCTATTTTATAGTTGATTCTTTTTTTCAATATTCATTTCGAAATGCTAAATAGAGATAATTCGATTCTTTGCAAAATTCAGGTTAGTTAATTTTTTGGTTTTTTATGAATATTAAATGATTGTGTGACTTAAGAAATTCAGACTATTTTCTTCACCATAAAAGAAGTTTTAACTCTATCTTTATTAATAAATACATTTGTATTTAACAAATCAAGGTTTAACAATTTGATAAATAATAGTGGATGATAGGATGAATGATGGTACAAATTCAATTTTTGGGGAATGGATTGATTTGGATGATCTATACTAGGAATCGAAATCAGTGACACTTGAGGGTGAATATAATGATAATATGAAAGTTGGTAATTGGATTATTTAGTCTGACTAGAATGGGATTAGTTTAAACAGTCCTGATTAAATTTGTCATCAATTTTATTTTAAACCGTTCTCTATTAAATTTGATAAATAACTAATAAAAAATAATTTTAAACTTATTGCAATGAAATTTTGGTATTCTGTGTTCAAAAATGGATTTAAGTGTAGTTGAAATAAATATTTTATAAATCATAGATTTTAAATAAATCCAACATAATAAATGGAGTTCCAATATTAATTATTTTATAATATCTTTAAATTAAACAAATTTTTTCAATTATATCTTTCTTGATATTAATTTAAAAAACAATTTGTTCAATAAATTTAATGTAAATTTATTATTTAAGTCTATTTAAATTAATACTTATCATCATCTTCGTTAAGTTGATGTGAGATCAATTCTCTGACTAAAATTTGTACTTTAAACTTTGTTAGGCTAATCTAAAATGATGATCTATCTTCAATATATATCTTATTGATACCCTTAAAATTAATTAAAAGTCTAAGATTAAACATTTATTTTTTTAGGATAAGTTTAATTATTTTTGAGATTAGATCATGCTTCTTTTTGATAAAGGGAATATTTAAGAAATTTATGTTATAGTCATTTTACATCAAATAATAGTATTTAAAACATTTTGATATTATAATAGTTAATCAATTTGAAAAGAAAAATTAATGTCAAATTGGTTTCAATTTTTTAATAATTTCTATTTGTGGTGTATTAAATCCTTATTAGTATCATTTGTTATTCGTTGAAAATTGTGTGAAAAAGTAAAACTAAAATATCTTAAGATTAATAATAAAGCAATAAATCTAATTATTTAATTTTATCATTAAATATGTTGCTTTGTTTTGAAAAAATAAATAAACACATTAAGAAATTAATAAATATATAATTAAAGTATTAAATTATAATTTTAATCAATTATTTCAATTAAATTCTTGAGATATACTTGTAATCATATTTATCATTGGAAAATATTAGATGGGGCAGTAGCTATTCTGGTTTTTTAAAATACTCCAAGTATTGATTTAGCTATTCTTCTAATTTGCTTATACTTTTTAAAAAGAAACTTCCATTATTAAAAGCCATCAATCACTAATTGAATACATAATAATGTGGTCATAAAAAAAATGCAACCCCATCCAAGATATTATCTAATCTGGTATGAAAAATATACTAATTCAAAATCACAAGTCAATATTGTAATATTTAACAATGTAAAAGAGATGCTAATTTCACTAAATAACTATTTAATATACTCCAATTTGTCCTTTAATGGATTAAAGAAGATGTAAAATAGACTCATAGAGATTGATAGAAGTGTAATACTGACAGTTTGAAAAGTTGGAAACTCGTATGCGAAAATTAATAAAAGCATAAAGATAAGTTTTTTCATTAGAAGTATTGTATTAAGATATTTGGAAAATTGATTTATCTTAATTCCTTCAAAAATAGATCCATACTTAGCTTAGATAGCTTTATTATTCAAAGCATATTTCTTCATTTAGGAGAGTTGTATTACATAATATATACCTATAATATATATTGCACTAGCAAAACAAGCGAAAAATGAACTAAAGCTTATAAATAAATTTGGAGAGTTAAGTTCCAAGGCATACAATTACAGTACCATACTGAAAGTAAAATCATATGCAGTTGCCATATGAGCACGTAAGATTCCGCTATAAAAAAATTCTGAAATAATGGTATAGCACAATCTATTAATAATATACTTAATAGTTAAATAGTATACTCCAACTTAGACAAGCCAAGAATTTTCGGCTGCTGATTCAGAATAAAATTTAAATTTTTATGAATATAGAATTTTTGGTATTATTTTTGCAATTGCATAGATACAGAATAAAGAAATCCAAACTGTAGTAATTGTTGCGGCATTAATAATAAATAGTGATGTTAAGTCATCACTTGCTACTTTTTTTGGTATCTTTTTTAATTGTTATGTATTCAGTATTTAATCAATAAATCCTGATAAATCAAAAACCTTTTAGATAAAATTAAATTAAGCAAATCCAAAAAGTTGAAAGTAGGTTTATAAATTATATGGGAGTTAAGTGTTAATGTATTTCAAATAAGATAGCATTTGGAGCGTATCCAACAAATTAAAAAAGACTTCTATTCCTCCAAATAACACTGATCCACCACACATTGCTCCGATAAAGTATAGTATATAAGTGTTACTATTTGTTGCTATTTAGACTTAAGCAATGGTGACATCATCAATGTATGTCACCTTTGGTATACTGCAAGACACTTCTGTTTCAATTTGGGAGTACCTTTCATTTGAATAAATGACAGAGGTATTTAAGAATTTGACCAATAGGATTTCGTCTTGTGAACTTCTTGAGAAAGTGATATTTATTATCAAATTTAATTCAGATTAGTTAAACTCATTAATCTTAGAAGTATCTTGAGTGAGATTAAAGGACTGATCCATTTTTGAAACATTATGGTTGTTCTATATATGAAAAGATAGATAATCTCTAATTTGAAAATCATCAGTCACAACGATGGGAGTAGTGTATGATAATTTAAATAATCTGGTAGCTGAGTAAATCTATGAAGTTCCTACAATTTATAATTATGGTTTAGGATAATTTGGTAAGATACTTACACCATTTAGAAATATATACTTATTTTCTAGTTTACATTAATCATCACACCCATCATCTTTGATAAGATTTCCATCATCACATTCCTCCTCCTTTACTTTTATGTAATCTCCACATTTATTTAAACATCTTCCATTTATCTCATCTGCATAATATCCTGATTCACAAAGTTAGCATTTATGATTCTTTTATTGTGGAAACTTACAACTTATACAATTATAAGCTTAATCAATACATTCTAAACAATTGATCGAACATTCAACACAATCATTTTTATCTAAAAAATAACCAACTTTGCATTAAATACATGAAGATTTGTTTGTTAAAGAATTCAATTGGCATTTAATGCAATTAGTTGAACATTGAAAACAAATTGATTACTTTAGTATTTCATTAGAACAAGAGTAGTTATGATCAATCTTACAATAGGAACAACCATCTCTATTTACATCATTTCCATCATCACATTCTTCTCCATAGGTCCAAATTTAATCTTTACAATCTTAATATTTACAACTTTCTTAAGATTTGCCCAATTACTCTTAACATGAAATACAAATTCCATTTTCACTTTCAAAATAATTTTAACCACATAAACATCTATTATTGTCTAAAATACGATGAAGTCGTTAATCGCAACTCAAACAATAATATTAATTTTCAACACAAGTTAAACAAGATTAATTACATTAAGAACAATTTTTTTTATTCCAGAAATACCCTGAATTGCAATTACATTGAAAATTCAAATCTAATTATAAATTAGATAGAAGAAAACATTCTTAACATATTGCTTAACTTAAACATTTTTTACATGGATATTCACATCTATAACATTAATTCTATTATTCATAGTATCCAACTTTACAGACACATTAATTACTCGAATTAATTTAATAGTTGGATCTACAAGTAAGACATTTTTCAGATTATTCATTACAAGTCTAGCAATTTTAATTACATGGCTCGCATTTCTAATTCACTAGATAATATCCATCTAAGCATTCATCACAACTAAATGAATTGTGACAAATATTACAAGAAGGAATACATGTTTCACATTTTCTAGATTCATTAATAAAGTATCCATTTTAACAATTTTCACAATTTATTTAATTATAACAAACATCGCAATTTTCTATACATTTTAAACATCTACTAACAGTAGATAAATAGAATCCTTTCATACAATTATTACAAATATCTATTCCTTAACAATCTATGCAATATTAATCGCAACAAAAGTTTCCCTTATTCACAAACCCCTCTTTGCATAAACATTTCTAATCTTTCATTATTTAATTTGGATCCATACACGTAAGACATTCATTAACGGTATTCATACAAGTAGAACATGGAATTTAACATTGCAGACACAAAATGCCTTGTTAAAGATATCCAGATTTGCAAATACATTATTTATTGGAATCCAGGACTTAGTTTATATCTATGCAGTTGATACATCCATTAATATCACATTCATTACATGGTTCTTAACACTTTGCGCAAGTGATTAGACTATCAGAATAATAAGTGGATTTGCAAACACATTATTATATGTTATTAAGTTCGTGATTAGTATCTAAACATGTCAAGCATTTATTAGTAGATATCTCACAAGTTTTACATGGCTATTAACAAGGAATACAAAAGTAATTATCGTCTAATATCCATCCAGATTCACATTGACAAGACTCAGGTAATTAATGTATAGAATCTTAACAAGTAATACATTTGTTTGTTGTATCTACGCAATCTAAACAAGGTAATTAACATTTGATGCATGTAATACCATCAGTGTTTAAAATCCAACCTGTTTAACATACACAAAAATGTGAACTATTTACTATTTAATTACTATCAACACAAGATAAACAGTGATTCTAATTCTATTCACAAGTTTAACATGGACTTACACATTACAAACATGTTTGAGAATCAAATTAATAATAACCAGATGAACATTCACATTTGTAATTTATACTCTAACTCAATGTAAAAGTAGGGATGCAATCAATACAATTATTACCATTATATTCACACTTTGAGCATGGTGCTGTACAAGGCTAACATTAATTTGATCCATCAAAGTACTTTCCATCATTGCAAACACATTAAAAATTGATTGAGGTTTAATTAATGTCAATACATGATGTACAGTCGTTTGAGTTGTTTATACAAGCAGAACAAGGAGATGTGCAAGGAAGACATTATGAATTTGAAAGGTATTTACCAACATCACAAGATGTACAAGTACTACTGGTGCCTGAACATGTCTTACAAGAAGTATCACAAACTGAGCAAATAGTTCCAATAATAAAATAGTGATCCACACAAGTTTAACATACAGAGTTAGATGTGCAAGTAGCACACTAACTAGGGCAAGCTTAGCAACTTGATCCAGATTTATAAAACTTTGGAAAGCAAGTTGAGCAAAGAAATCCACTGCTTCCGCTACAAACTTGGCAATTAGTTGAACATGCACCGCATTGATAAACAATAGGAGTAACATAAAATCCTAGCATACACGTGTTACATGACAAAGGAATTGTACAACTTATGCAATTCGATGAACAATTCAGACATGCGCCATCTATTTCAACTTATCCTTAATCACAACTCCAAGTTACTAAAATAGTATAAGGTATCTTTACATAAACAATTCATTAAAATAAGATAGACTCTAAACATGTAGTCGCACATAAAAAACAATAATATTATATATAAAAAGTTTGATGATGTAATAAAGGTCTTATATATATTTGATTACAAAACTATTTATAAATTTAATTAACTTTTTGAGACTTAAATTAATTGTCACTTGTAGATTTCTACATAGATTTTTTTAATTTCTTAAAATTATCATTATTATACTCAGCATGTAGACTTGTTTAATTGAAAAATAATGCTATCTTTTTATAATATCGTTATTTTTTTAATATACTCATTTAAATGAAAAGTATTTTGAATAATTTGTCTTAATGATATTTATTAATTGAGTTTCAACTCTTTAGAGAAACAATGTTATTCAATATTAATAACTATTTATAATTTATTTTCTTTAAAAAAAGTAAGAGTGTAAATATTAATTAAGTAACAAATATGTTATTCAGAAATACTAATTTGAATAAATATTACCATTATACATAAATACTCTATTAAATTATAAAATATAAATAGCTAGTAAGCTGGGACTTGGTTGTAATTTGAATTTATGCAAATGATTTAGCACTTCAATTCAATATAGATTGATCATTGCGAGAATTACAAATTGCTAATCTAGAACTTCATACTAGAGAATAATACCTTAAAATAAAATCATTTATGAATCTTTTAAATCGTTTTCACATCTAAAGTTATTTATAAAAATAGTATACATAATCCAAATACCTAGTTTATTTTTTTATTTCTTTATTATTTAGATAATATATTAAATACTTTATGGAAACTTTTGAATGTTGGCTTTTATTCAAATTAAAATAAAGTAGATCTGGAAGTTAAGTAAAATAAGTCAATATAAAATTCAATTATTAAATTACATTACATATAATCATATAAAAAACTCATCCTATTCTAAATTTTAGTATTTATTTAGTTATATTTTGGACAAGATACCTTTATAACTTTGAAATTTTTAATATTTTTTTTTACATTTGTTAAACTTGCAAAAATAACTTTCTTATAAAAATGTGATACACTAAAAAATTTCTCTCAAATTCAACTATCAAATATTTTAGAAGCAGAAAATTTGTTATGAAGGATTTAATTTAAAAAGGTAAAATAATATTATAAATATATGCTAAAACTATAGATTAATTGAAGTAAAACCAAGATTCATTACTATTTAAATAATTTTTGCATTTTTTCTAAAAGCTTTCCAGTATAATTATGTCTTTATATTTTGAAAAATATTGATGATCTTTAATTTCCAAATCTTTTTACAATATCAATACTTGCATGGTTAGAATGATAAAAATATTATCATTATTATTACAATGATTATCTAAAATTAGTGATTATTGGGAAACATACTACTTTCTATAGCAAATAATCTGATAAGGATGAAATAAATTAATGACAAAAAATTTAAATCCCATGTACTTAATTTTCTGTTTGTCTTTGGTATAAAAATAATTTTTAATATAATTCATCATTTTCTGAATGATGATAATGTGTATTTAAAAAATGGATTTAAATTAAGGATTCCTATTTTTAATTCTAAATAAATGTACTTTATACAATTATATTGTTTCTATCTAGAATTTTTTCATTATTTAAATTTAAGTTCATATAATAAAGCAGTAATTAAGTTTAATGGTAAAATAATGATTTTTATTGATTTGATTTAATTCCTAAATTCTATGAATATAACTTGATTTTTATTAATAATTCATAATAATGATTATCTATAATAAAATAGTATATTTTTGGAATTTCATTTATTCTGAGTCCCATATATTAATCTCTTCATCATATCCATATTATGTTTGATAATAATCTTATAATTAAATTATTTTAATAAAATAACTAAAAATTAAGAATAAAATATCTAATAAGTCTCCAATTTATCTTTTAAAAATAATAGTTTTGATAAATTAATATAGTTGAAATTTTCAAACACTAAATATTAAAAATTTTGAATTTCTTAATTTGAAAAAACCTTTTGAATAATTTCAGCAGAATTTAAATTAGAATAAAAAATAACGAAAAAGTTTTTATAGTTTTGAACTGAAGCAACTTAAACTCTATCAGAACTTATATAATAAATTATTGGACTATCAATCCTAAACCAACCCTGATATTAATATAATTATAAATGAAATTTTTAATAAATATGGAAGATAGAATTAATTACAAATATATTTTCCTGTATTAATGATTTAGATTTATTGAGTGAAACTGTTTGAATGGATGAAGAAATATTTTTATCTATTTAGGTTAACAACATAACCCCAATATAAATATTAAAAATCAAATTATTTTGAAAAATTTAATCTATTAGAAATGTAACAATCAAGATATTTTAAATTTCTAAGTCTGCTCAATTTTAATCACAGGAAATTCTCATACATTCAATAATTTAATAACAATTAAAATTTCAATATCAATATGTAGTTCCCCATTATTATAATCTTATTGTTTTATTGTTTACCTATCTGTAATTTGAAAGAAACACTAAAAATTTATAAATTTTATTAAAAGAGATTTGTTAATGGAATATAACTTATAATAATATGTTATTTTAAATTAACTAATCTGAAAAAAAAATTATTTGGAATTATTTAAATTGATGCTATATATTGGTAAATTTAAATTAATATATGATTATATATATATGTATATTAATAAAATTAAAAACAAAACATTATAATTGATGTAAAATTGAATGAAGTGTAAGAGGATTCATCAATATGAAGTTATTTGAGTTATTTATTGGTTTGTAGAATTTTTGCTATTCAATGAATTTATAAGATCATCTGGATTTGGATTTTCAAATAATTCACAATAACTTAAAGGAAAGGACGAGTTTTATTATTTTGTTTAAATTATTATTCCTTATTTTGTGAGTCGTCTTTTAATACATCTAAACTCAATTATCAATATGAAATAATAATAGGATGATTAACAGAAATTATAAACTAAATTTAACGTGGAATGAAAAGGTTGTTCATTATTTTTTTATTTAAAGATTAACACTTCCATTTTTGTAAAATTGTTGTATTCCATTTATGAAACTTTTTCACCTTATATTACCCATATGATATCTATAATAATACAAATAAATAAATTTATAGCTAACTGATAATTATGATATAATCAAAAATTAAAATAAAGTTTTACAATACTTATTTGGCTTGATTTCTATCAAATTTTTATTCATTTCGAATATTATTGATATATTTTATTTAAAATAATTCATTAACATAACAATATTTCAACTTGTGAAAATATAGATTCTAAATTATGTTAATGAAAATAATCATTATTCCATTCATGATCATAACAGGTTTAGATGAAGTATCAAATAAATCAATTGATTGTACGTTTTACGCCTAATAGAATCTTATTATTTTTCCATTATATTAATAATATATAATAATATAATTTATTTAAATTAACATTTAACAGATATATGATATCTAATACTTTTACTTTTTTAAGAATAGAAAAGTCTTTTAGTGATTTTAAATGGAGGATAGTATTTTAAATTAATTATTGCGAATAATTAGTTGGCAATAAATTGATTAAATTATTTTATATATTTAGAGAATTAATAAAGTAATAATTTACCTTATTATTTAAAAAGATTATTATAAAAAATAATCCATCCCCCTTTTATTTAATTTATTATAACCAAGTATTTTATTTCTTTCCCTTTCTAAATTAATTTATAGGAAGATATTTTACAATGGCTTGTATTCAACAATACAAAGTTCTTTCAAACATAGGATGTGGATCTGAGCATCTTGTGTATAAGGCTTAGTTTAATTTAAATTCAGAATTGTATGCTATTAAAATGGAAAAATCTCCTCGACTAGGTCAGTTAGAGAATGAAATAGAAATGCTCTAAAAATTGAATGGAGTTGAAGGTGTTCCACAAATAAAATAATTTGGATTAACTTAAGATAAAAAGTAATATTTATATATATTGATTAGATGCTTTTTGATTGTACCATTACTTCATAGTAGCTTATTAGATTTATCAAAATCAGGCTCACTTTCTTTACCTCTTATATTGACTATTGGTTTAGGAGTCATTTAAATTTTAGAAAGAGTTCATAAAAAAGAAATATTACATCTAGACATTAAACCAGAAAATATCATGCTTTCTCAACAAATATCAAATGATTAAGATGTCTTAAAGCCTGGATTGATTCAGCTGATTGATTTTGGCTTATCACAGTAATTCATAAAGAACTCAGAAACTTTAAAAGATGTGTTTATTGGATCTTTAAATTTTGCAAGTAGATCTTCACACTAAGGAAAGCCAATTGGATATAGAGATGACTTAGAAAGTTTATTATATGTATTATGCTACTTAAAAGATTGTAATTAATTTATTTTATAAAGTTAGTGAAACTGCCATGGTCAGAGAAGCAATTTTGGGGATTCAAAGAAGTTGATTTAGATAAGATTGGTAACAAAAAGTCATCTTTCTTTAAAACAATTTTATTATAACAACAATCTTATCTAAATTTTTAGCCTTTTATGTCTTACATTGATGGATTAAAGCATGATATTATGCCAGATTATAATTTCATCAAAGAGTTATTTACTTTAATGATTTAAAGAGCCAATCCTTTTTAATCTTCATTAAAATAATGGAGTTAAATAGCATTTTGTACTTCGATTTAAATAAAAACTTTATTGCATGATTCAGAAAACATAAAAAATTCACTTTAAAATATTCAACAATAATATACAACTGAAGAGATAATCGATGATGAATTTCTTGAAAAAAATATAGTCTTCCTCTCAGATGTCATTGGAAATTATACAACAAACTCAATTAAATCTATAAAAGACATCAAATTATAGAAAGTTAACTTTATTATATGATTCTTATGAAATAAAACTTAAATATTAATATTAATATTTTCATATTCTATATTATTGTTTCAATTAATTAAGACACTTAATATATTGATCATTGATGATCTTCAAATTGAATTAATTATCCTATCTCATTATAATAAATCTATTAAAAAAATATTTTTGATAACAAAATTGCTGGAATTTTGTTCATCCTCTCTGCAAAATCAAATGGAATTATTTCAATTACAAATATTTAAATAATGTTAATAAACTTTACATAAGTTATATATTATGTTTGAAAATAAAATATTAAATGGAAATATATATTTTTTTTTCATTCATAACAAATATATTATTAATGGTTTATTCACAAATTACTTAATGATCTACATATTGATTATCTAGAAATATATTATAATATAATAAATTTAAACTGTTGAAAATTGATAAGAATGGATGAATTATTTATTTTTGAACTAATAACTATTTTCAAAGAGAAAATGGAAAATATTCTTTTTGGATTAGAATTCTTCATTCTTTAATTTTTGAAGCAAAAATAACAAATAAAACCTAACAATATATGATTATCCTAAACATATACATTATTTTTTCAACAATTATATCAATCACTTACAAGAGTTCAATTTTTTGTTTAGTTTTCCCGAGTCATTCATTTTTGGAAAATGGATAACTTTTTATTTCCACAACATCCTAATTACATTATATATATTTGTCTAACAGGATTTACAGAAATTGTAGTATTTTGAATTAACTTTTAACAAAATATATAAATTCTGTATAAGTTAAAATTTTTAATGAATTTTATTGAGTACTATAATTTGTAAAGAGTATTGATAAATGGCAATTTATAGTGGTCTTTGAAAAATGGATTGTCACAAATAAGAAATGAATTAAAGAGTGCAAATATTGTAGAATCATCAATAAAAGTTATAAATGTCTTAAGATTTTATTATAATAATATAATGTGAATGTGTAGAAAGAATTATTTTATATATTTAACATTTTTAAAGCGTCTAACTACATTTAAATGATACACTGGAAATATACATTAAATTTTACTTGTAAGGAATAGGATAATTTTTTCTATCTTTTTTAACTTAAAATAATGAGAACTCATTATACTATATTACAATTTCAATTATTAGTTTTGCTAAAATAAATCATTAATCTAACATAATTTATGATCACAATAATAGTGTATTCATTTTATACGTTTAAATGATTACTGAGTTACTAGAAGTAATTTCAGATTCTATTAAGGATTATTTATAAAAATAAAATAAATTATATTATTAATATTTAAATAATGGAATACCTGATTGAATTATATTAAGTAATTAATGATGAATTGATCTTAAAATAGATAAGGATATAATATAATAATTATCATTCTTCAAGATTCTACTAAAGCAATTGAAATTTAGTATATTTCTTGTGAGTATTACATTGATGTGACCAATATTAAATTATAAATTCTAAAAATTCTAGACTTTTAGATTTCTAATAAAATTGATCCCAATTTCAATGATCTAAACATAAAATAGTCTAAATCTTAAGAGATTTAGTATAATCTTAAATTGACATAAAGCTCAATCTAAATTAATAAATGAGCTTTATAATAAAAGCAAAATATACCTTTATTTTTGATTGATAAGGCTATGAAGTTTGAATCTTAGAACTTTGATGCAATCTCCTAAGAAATATTGTTATAATATGAAAAGTACGAAATAAGGTTTAACTTTTAATTGCACATTTATTAAACACTTAATTCTATAGGAGTAATTGCTAAAGCTTGTTATGAAATCAAAGAATAAGGATTAACTCTAAGTTTCACCTTCTTTAGCTGATTTCTTTAGCTTATTTTGAATAAATATATTTAATAATCAAATCTTTTTAACTATATTAAGAATTCTTGAATATTATTTATATTTATAATAAGAAACTGTGAAATTACGTATAATTATTTTTGGAAAAATTCCTTAAACCTCATGATCAAAGATCTAATAGATTAATAATATCTAATAATATGATTTAATTATATTTCAAGACTTAATACTCAAATGACTTTTATTTAACTCATTACTATCTCTTTAATTTAATAATCAATATATTTTGATCGAGGGCAATCTTATATTAGATATTTCTTTAATTCAAAAGATAAGTAAAATACAATCTAATAAATTATTTGCATCTTAATTTTGCTATCCTTCATTATCATATTGTTATAGTTTATAAAATAATCAAATTTTTTTTCTTTAAAATATAAATCTTTAGATTATGTAAAAATGCTATATTATTTTAAGTAATTTAAATGAACAACATTTATAACTTAAATACTTATACAATATCTATTTTGTAAATTGAAAAGAAGAATTAAGAATAAAAATATTTGCCATCTACATAATTAGAGATAATGATTTAAATTAAATAATACTAATGACATAAAGAATCAAATTAAATTTTTAATTCATTCTTATTAGATTTCTAAGATCCTTATAATTGGTGAGATATCTAGGACTAGATTTTATGTTCTTAAATTCTTTACTGTTGTATTTTTTTAATTAAATAATCAACTTTTGTTGTATTTCTCATCTTTCTTATATTAAGATTACTTTCATTTCAAAAAAAGAATCTGCTCTATCTAATCACCATTTTGACATATTTCTCTTAAATTAAAATTTACTATTGATTATAAGCAGGAATTTAGGACTTTCAAAAGGAGATCTCTAAAATGATGATAATAAAATAATAAAGTAAAGAAAATATGATAGATCTGATTATCTAAATAAATAAAAACAAATGCTATTTTAATAATGTTGTAAGTGTTTCAACAAATATAAGAACCATTATCATAAGAAAATGATTATATCTTCAATGATAACTGTAGTAGATCAGAACTTAGTCTCACTCTATATAATTAAGCTATTGTTATCGTTATTTCAGGCTTGTTAAAATTTTATAAGAAAAATTTATCATCATAAATTAAGTATAAAAAAATTAAAGCCAAAAGCTGGATGTTTTATTTACATAAAATAATTTTGAGTATTTATCACTTTTAATCAATTTTAGTTTACTATTCATTGTGTTATCAAATTCCTAATTAATAATTTTATAAAATAACCATTAATCAATTAATTGGTGATTTGATATAATGATAATATCAATAATATTTGCCATTTATTAATTTATTTTTATTTAAATCATTTGATTTTTAATAATTAATACAAATGGATGCAGTATTATTAAATTACTAAATCAATTTAGTTTTTTAGTTTTATATCCTATTATGATCATTAAACATTGTTCACTATTTATATGTATATTGAAGTTTAAGCATTTGATATAATAATATTGCATTTATATTTTTATAAATAATTTTTAACTAATGAAACTAAAGGAAATAAATTATAAAATTCCTTATTCTAGCATTAGGTTCCTAAAAAATTGAATCATAAGAATAGGCGAATATTCTTAACAAATCTCATCAAGTTTCAATTACTTTTTTGCCCTTAAAAGTAATTGATTCTCAAATTTTAGGAGTGGTTTTAAATATAATGAAATAAATTTATATGAAATATCTTTAAAAATAATCATTTTGATTAGATAAATATTAAAAATAAATTATTACAAATTCAAATTTTCAAGTTGCACATATAGCATTTTAAATTCTAAAAATATGAGAATTATGTTAGTTTTAGAATGCCAAAGCAAATTTAATTTGATCAGTGATTATCTACTTCCATTTTCAAAGGCTATTTATAATAATCTTGTGAATGATTATTCAGGCGGATTTTAATATAAATCAACCTTATTTCTTTACATTATTTTGAGATTTAAACAAATAAACTATTATTCATAAGATAAATAATTTTATTCATCATTAAATATTTATATACAAAAAATATGAATGATTGAAAACAGGTTACTAATTATTGATAGAATAATATATAGAAAATTTTGAATGGTCCTCTAAAATACAAGATGATAATACTTATTTTCAGGATTATGACAATGATTCTTGCTCTAATTATTAGATACAGTATTTTATGAATTGATGATTGATTATGATGAAAACAATTACCAAAAATTTGTTTGGTATTACTCAAATAATTTTGTAGTCGGGTTTTTTTACTAATTCTTAGTCTATGACTTTTAAATTTGAATTTAAAGTAGATAAGTGAAACTAAACCCATTGTTTATTTTTTTTTGGAATAAAGTCCATTAAGAATCTTAGTATTAAATATTTTTAATTTTTGGTTCATAAATAGTAGCTCTCTTATATAATAGAAAATACTAAGTCATATTAATCTTAAAATGAAATATCTTAAATTAAAATCTCGATTAATTTTAACTTTCATAATTAGGGAAATTATGAAAACAGAACATCTTTTGAAAAATAATATTAATAGTAAATTCATAAATGAAATTGAACACTTTTTTTGATAATCTTAATGAATTCCCAAATAGTATAAACGATAAACTTCTTACATTTTATTCCTAAAATTCTTCATTTTAGGTAGACATCTATAATAAAGATTTTGTAAAAAATATTAATATTGAACATTATTCAGAGCTAAAACTATATAATTTTAATAGAATAGAGAATATTTGGAATAGTATAAGATTTAGAAATTCATGCACTAAAAATACTAGTAATAAAGATTTATTGTTTTTGTAAATTAATTTTAATTAAATCCTCAAAATTTGTTTTATAACAAGAAAAATATTAATTAAAATTATATTCTCTAAGAGTGAACTAATCGATGCAAAAGTAGTCTGAAAGAAAATGTTGAATGGTAGATAAAAAGTCTAATGGAAATAAAACCTTCAATGAGTTGAATTATAAAAAGATTTTTATCAAAATTTAAATTTAGATTTAAGAAAAGTCACAATTATAATGGTTGTAACTCCTATTCGAAAAATTAAATAAACATTAATTAAGAAATCATATGAAATATTTTTTAATCATAAACACTAAATAGTATTTATAAATCTTATTAATAAAATTTGATGAAATTAGAAATTAGTTTTCAATCTCAAAAAAGAAACTATTGTATTCAAGTAGTATTAAAAAGAATAATTTTGATTGCATCACAAGAAATTTAAGAATATCTATTTAATAATCCTATAGTTTAAAATGCACATCTAAATATTATAGTACAAATATCCAGAAGTACATTCTTGATATCATTAAATAACAGAGTTGGTTCAAATAGATTATGGATAAGATTAATGTTCAATATTTGAGTTTATAGTTTATTTATGTTTTTGAAAGATAATTTATTATTTGATAATAAATTTTATTATTGTTGTACACTAAATATCTTTTGTCAATTAATATTTTAATTTTTTAATTTGAAAGATTAAATAACTATCAAATATTTTTCTATAAAAATTCAAGTCAGACAAGATATAAGATAAACCAAAAAGAGAAGAGATACAAGATCATTATATTTAATCTAACCATTACTAAAATAAGAATGATTCTTTTTTATGCTTTCTATTTTTCGAATCATTAGCTCTTTTTAATTTTTTAAAAACTTACATTCCTAAGGAATATGCTTTATAAATTATTTCTAATGGAAATATTATGAATATTAGGTTCATCTAAATATTATCGTATAAACAATTTCAATTTGATATAAATCATCACTTATCAAATATCAGAATAATCATAAAGAATTTAGAATTTAGGAAATGGAATAAGTTTGGATATATGAGAAAAATACAAATAATAATAAGGGATAGTTATTTATCATTTTTGTTAATATTTTATAAAAGAGGTAATCCTCTTATGATTCTTGTATAAAATTGAATCACAACTAAGAGAATAAAAGAATTAGAAAATAGATATCTATGGTAGAATTACATTTTTAGTTATTCATAAATTTTAAACCATTTCTTCCAAAATCAAAGAAAGACAAATCTAGTTATATAAAACTTTTTTTTTTTAATTCTGGTTATTCTTTTAAGATTAATTTTATTCTCTTTTGATGGTAATATATATTGTTATACATATATAATCTAACAAAGAAGTAGATATATGATTTCTTTTATAGAGTTCATTAGGGATAATTATTAGTTTATTCTTCTTTTATATTTACTAAGCATAATTTATTGAGGATTTGGAAACAAGAATAAGAATAATGATGATCTTTAGAATAAGGAAAAAACTCCTTTTAAAGTAAATAAAGGATATTTATATAAGCAGATGAAGTTACAACCACTTATAGTAATACTAATAAAGTAATATATTGATCCAGCTAATAAAAATAATTATAAGCCAATATTAAAACATCAAATCATTTGGTTAAATTAAAAAAATTGAAGTAATTTATTTTTTAAAGGAAATATTGATCCATATGATACCTAATAATTGTTAGGATTAGATTAATATTAATTTGCTTGAAAGATTGGCAAGTATGGCCTTTAATGATATTTTGATATATTAAAACTTGGCAATTTTTATAATAATGAAATTTATATGATTAATAGATCAAAAAAAAATTCATTTTCAATTTTATTTGAACTACATATTTATACGAATTTTTATGTAACTAGATTTTAATATATAGAATTTAATGAAATTTCTATAATATCTATAAATGAATAGCAAAATTTTAGTAGGAAAATTTGAATTATTTAAAAAAGAATACCATATCAAAGAATTACTTGAGTAAAAAAATTGCCTTAAATCTTTATATAAAATATTTCTAAGCAAATTATTTTGAAATTACTCTCATGATCTATACTTAGTTAAGTTTAAGCCTTAATCTAACACAATCAAACTTTGAAATCAATCATGAGTTTCAACATTTTGAGACCTATCATTAATTTGTTATGATTTGATTAATACTTTAAAAATACTATAACTTATTTACTTATTACCAAAAACAAAATCTAAATCTAAAAAAAAGTGTCCAGACACTCTTAAATTAATTATAATGAAGTAATCAAACCCACTTTTATATTAGCTATTATTATTAGTACTTTTAATCTAATACTTATTATATAAATATTTAAGAAATAAGCTTCATTCTATTGAATCGATGTATTTTGAAATCAGAATTGCAGCATTCAGTAATCATAATCTCAGTAAGATCATGCGTAGTTAAATGGGCTAAATTGTTCCAAAACTTTGAGAAAATATTATCATTTTATCATTGTCATTATGGTATAGAATTACTAAGAGTCTTCATCATATTTTTTAATTTGATTATTTTATTTTTAATCATGTAAATAAATAAAAAACTAATACTTAAAAAAGAAAGGTTTAATCAAATTTAATATTGATTTTAAATAATGATACATTGAATATGATGATACTTCATAACTTTGATAATTATTTCTGTATAAAATCCTTCTCATTTGATCCTAATTTCAATGCAGCCATATAAACTTATTTAGCTTCTTCTTTCTTTCCTAATTCGAATAGTGAATCAGCTATAGTAAAATTTAATAAAGAAATTTTTACCTTTTCTTTTTAATCTTGAGGGATTGATGCAAATAGAAAGAGCTTTATCATAACAATCTATAGCATCCTTATATCTTTTTAATTAAATTAGTGAAAAACCTGTATAATAAATTTATTTACCTTTATTGCTCCACGCATTATCATTTTTAGGATTAATAGAGATTGCTTTGTCATAACACTATATTGCTTCATAATTTTAATTTAAATTTGATAATGCTAATCCTAAATAATAATGTATGCCAATTAATTACCCTTATTGATCAGCGCATTATCATTTTTAGGATTAATGGAGATTGCTTTATCATAATACTTTATTGCTTCTTCATTTTTATTTAAATTTTATAATGCATTACCTAAATAATAAATTTGTAATAGTTAATTACCCTTATTGTTCCATGAGTAATCATAATTAGGATTAATACTGATGGCTTTGTCATAACACTATATTGCTTCTTCATTTTTATTTAAATTGTATAATGCTAATCCTTAAAACTAATTTCAACAGTCAATTACCCTTATTGTACCACGCATTATCATAATTAGGATTGATGGAGATGGCTATTTCATAACACAATAATGCTTCTTCATTTTTATTTAAATTTTATAATGCTGATCCTAAATAAGAATTCATATTAATTAATTACCCTTATTGTTCCATGCATTATCATTTTCAGGATTAATGGAGATTGCTTTGTCATAATACTTTATTGCTTCTTCATATTCATTTATATTATTTAATGCATCACCTAATATAAAATGAAAATAATTATACCTTATTTTATTATTCTAACAATATCATCTATATTCATAGGGTTTTCAACTTTAGTGTTCTATTTAATTTCTTCTTTTTTAATAGGATTTTTTTCAATAGAAGGATATTAATCATCAATTTTATTTTAATCTGATACCATGTTTTTCATTGTATCAAGTATATTATTTAATTATGTTATTTGTTTTTCTATTTAAATTAACTGAAAAAGATACATCTGTAATTGTCATTTTCTTTTGAGTAAAATTGTTTTATAATGTTAATTTATGACTTAAAAGTTAAATAGTCTTGGTTTAAAAGTTGTTGGGCCATTTTTTCTAATTTATTAATTCCCTCATCTAATTTTTTCAATATCTATTCAAAGAATTTCTAATATTGTTAAGAGATTTCTATGAATTATTTCTTTGAATGATTGGAAATTTGTATGAATTCATCCATAAATTAGATTAGTTTAGAGAATCTAATACAATCATTAAAATGTTGTGAATGAGTAGTATTTACGCATTGATAACAATACTGAGTTGCATACTAACAATTCTAATTCAAACAAAATCCAATAATTTCTTCATTTTCATGGTTAAGGTATTTACACTGAAAGTTTTCCATAAGAATCTAAAAATTATTTTATTAATAATCTTTATTAATAGAATATCATAAATTTATATTAAAAATCACAATTAATATTATTTTATTACACTAATTAAATTGAAATTATAAACTATAATTATATGGATTTAATTATAGAATTTTTCAGATACAACAATGAAAGCAATTATAAATCAGCAACAATTGGATTTTAATGTGTAAAATACGTATATATTTTAGTATATATCTTGGACAGTTTATGAAACTTAATATGATAAACTGTTTATATTAATTCTAGATATAGTCTGGTTAAATAGGAGATATGCTTATGTAGGAATAACTGAATAAAGTTTTAAAATGAAGTGATGTAATAAAAAAATCCATTAGGTTAATATTATGTAAATATGAGAAAAAAATTAAAAAATTGCTGATTTTATTTTAATAAATGTTAATTTGAAATCTTTGAAAGAAAGAAATGAAAGAAATTACAATTCATGAAATAAAAGAGATTTAAAAATATGATAACTTTATCTCTGAATAAAACTACAAGGTTGATGAATTCATAAGGAATTATTTTTTAATATGTGTTATAGAATGTATTAATAATCTATTAATTCTTATAAGCAAGCATTTTCTGTAAAATCTTTTCACTCTCAGCATATTATACATATATCTATTATTATCTTGTACACAGCTTATAATAAATACAAAATTTATAATATTATTTCAAATGTATCTAGTAATTTTTGAGCCAATCTAAAATAAAAAGAATTCAAAAATTGAGATACTTATATATTGTACTTTGTTTATTTTCAAAATCAAAAATTAAACTTTTTGAATTAAAATACTAAATTATCTAAAGAATAAATTTTAATAAATTTTTTACATCAGTTTTGTATAGATTTCAACTTCATATTGTTTATTTTGGAAGTTTGAGTTAAATATATATTCATTGTAAAAGGTCATAAACAAAATATATTACTTGGCAGATTTGTGAACACTCATTTAAATTATTTTTTTTTAATTACAACAGGTTCATGCTTAATTAAAAAATATAATTTGTATAACATTATTAATTTTCAGGAAATCCTTAATTTACCTTTGCAGGCTGAACGAAAAACTTTTGATGGTCCAGAAAGTTCAGTTGTTCTGGTCAAAGTTAAAATCTTTGTTGAGGACGAATCAACTATAATTATAATTATTCCGATGAATATTTATAGAATGAGTTTTGGAATTCTTATATTATTTATCATAAACTCCACATCAGAAATTGACTTAATGTGAACTCTTTTTGTTCATAGCCTAACATTAGTTCCTCTTTGAATATTTTATTATTCTAAAGAATCTATTTTTATTAATTTTTCCTATCCTTTTATTGTTACCAAATTAAGTTTCTTAAGAAGTCTCACTAAAAAGGCTTATAACACAGGGGAGATTATATCTTTTTGTTATTAATATTTTATAAGATCAATCTACAATTATCTAGACTTTTACATTGAAAAATATAACCATTTTCGAGTTTAATATTTTTGTAATTAAAGCTTATGAATCTATCTGCTTTTATTAATAATCAAAATGATTAAGTGAATCGATTTTCCTTAATTATTAGGTAAAAATAAGTCAAGTGAAACTAAAAGCGAATTGGGAAAGAACTATGAAGAATTTATGTAAATTTTGCTATATATATTATCATGGCTGTCTATTTAATTTTTTTATTATTAGTGACAACGTTTCAAGCATCTAAACCATTTTAATAATTGTAAAAATTATCTTTCCTATTTAAATTACAAAATAAAATAATTGTAGGTAATCAAAAAATAAATTAATTTAAGTCGAAAAATTTATGAGGATCAGATTTTAATAAGCTCTTGATCTAAGAGATTCTCTCTCTTGCCTTTTAGCTCTTAATTTAGTCTTAGCTTGAAGGAGAAAATTTTTGGTCTTCCAGGTTAATTCTAATTTTGGAAATAGATGCAAAGTAAGTACCCCCAATTTATTTTTAATTTGCTATCTGAAAAGTGTTTGGGGTTTGGG